TAACGAGCAGGGAAGCTGTGTGCACGGTGATGGAACCTGTGAGGTCAGGCGGATTTGAGCCTGAATTTCACTTGCTCAACATGATGAGTCTGAAAGCATGTCTTCACCTCTCTTTCTTTGTAAATGGAAAGAAATGGTAATAGATTGTACTTCAGAGAGTTACTGTGGAGATGGAATTAACATGCAGGAAATATTTTTGTTTCTGATCTACAACATAATACCAATGAATATTAATGTGGATGAAGCATTACAATCATAAAAGTAATCGATACCAAAAAATCATATTTTCAGTTAAATTTTTGTGTTAATCAGAATGCATGGCTTTTTTAAGCCACATATATTGTATTCATGAAGAAAAAATTCTTAGTGTGGAAATGTATATATTCTCTCCTTATACTCATATTGATTGTGAAAAGTAACTAATAGTACAGAATTTGTGCTGAATGACAAAATAAAATGTTCATTAGCATTAGCTAATAATTTAAAATGACTCATTAAGATGACTTTCATTTTCACTTTGAAATTTATTTCCAATCTTTTAATGAATCATTGAGCATGGTTAGCAAGAAATTCTCTTTTATATCATAAATGTTTTATTCTGCTACATAAACTTGCAAAAGCATCCTCCACTAGGCACACTGGGAAAAAGAAAAAATTGAATACTTGGCAAATCAATGAAGTATTTCATCCTGTCAATTTAATGATTCTTTTTATTTTTACAATTTACTGATGCTGAAAATATGTGACTATTTTTAATATTCTCATATATATTGTCTATCTTTAAATACATTTAAAAGTTGTAAAACTACTTCAGAAAATAAATGACATCTTAATTTATTTTGAGGATATTTGATCAGCAAAAGTGCTATTCAACAACTACCACAAAGCAGCAAAAGTAGTAAATATTGCAAGTTAGAGTTATAATGCAATTTACACACACGTGTAACATACGTGTATATATGAGAGAGCAAGAGAGAATGAGAGAATGATAGAGAGAAAGAGAGAGAGAGAGAGAGACAGAGACAGAGACAGAGACAGAGACAGAGACAGAGGGAGAGAGAGGTTTTTTTCCTTCCAATTATGTTTACCTAATCAGGACTAGAGACTAGATAGCTCTGGTTTAGCATTTGTAATTATCACCCTATCACTATCACATATATTTTTTTCACTTCTATATGTAATTCTGTATTCCATTCTGGTAGATCACAAACTTATGAACAAACACGGGACTGTCATTTAGAAGTTTTTCAATAAGAAACTTTTGGATATATACATACTTAATGGTTATTTGGATGAATAGATGGTTAGATAGGTGGGTTAATGGTCAGATGAATAAAGCAGCATGAACCAGTTGAAAATGTGCTCTCACTGTACTGTCATCTAGCACTTTTAATTGACATAAATTATAAAATTAGTAAGTATTAACATCCTCTTCTGCTATATGGTAAGTTGAATTGGCAAGATACTTAATGTACTAGCCTGAGACTTTACCTTCTCCTTTTCTGTGTCCTCACTCAGCTTCACCTGAGGGGACAGTCCCTACCTCACCTTGACACTGACATGGACTTTGGGCTAATGTTCCGCACAAAAGACAGTCTTACTATCTACTATCTATGTCATACTTTGGCTTTTAATTTTTGCAAAAACTATTCTTGTGTCCATTTCCCCTGTTTCCCTCCCCTCCTCTGCCTTGCCTTTCCTTGCATGATTCTCCTGAATCTTCTCATTTCTTGCTTTCATTTGTTCAGGATATGATTTCTATTCCCATACCTCAGTTTCTTTCTATCTTAATACCCACTCAACTGCTGTTGGGTTTATCATATTATCCCTGGATTTACTGGACATGCTAGATTATGAGCTATGTTTGTACATTTTTCTGGGGGCTTGTATATTACACGCCTGCCTACATTTGCTTTTCTTATAATAGAATCAGGGTATGACCTAGGAGATATCATTAGTACCATACAGGAAAGGGAGATGGGAAGAGATCTCTAAGAAAAATGAAGCAAAAAATGTCATATGCATGTGAAATGCACAGGCCTGCAATCCCAGCATTCTGGATGGTTGAGAGAAAAGGTTCACAAATAAGTAAAATCAAATAACAAAATAAAAACATAAATAAATAAAAAGGACCCAAGATGTAGCTTAGTGTCAAACTCCAGGAGTACATATGCATATAGAAAGAAGAGAAAGAATTTAGTCTTATGATCTGATGAAATGTGTTCACAAAAATGCCAAATAAATTAAATAT